ATATATATATATATATATATATATATATATATATATATATATATATATATATATATATTTTAATTTTGTTTTGCCCCTGGAACACCTTCGTACGACCGTCGTCCGTACGCCCGTACGGCGTACGTCCGTCCGTCCGTACGGGCCGTATGGAGACCCCCCGTACGACGTACGGGGGACGACACAAGATTCATCCGAAACGTACACGCTTGGGGACCACTGTCGTCTAACTATGACTGAACTTCGTTGTTTTGGGGTCTGGGTGACCGATAACAGAATACGTACTGTGGGTCGTGGTTGATGTTGGGACGTGCTGACTGTTCTGAGCGCATGTGGGTTCATTTCCTTCGTGTGTTTCAGGGAATGGCTACACACGGACGAAGCCGCTCCGCTAGTGGTTTCGCCCCGCATGGAGAGGAGCGTCGAGGGATGACATCGTCGCCGACAAGGGAAACGAGTTGGGGAGTTGGCGGTGGGGAGGAAGAACGACGGGCTCAAAACTTGTGGTGCGACTACAACAAACGTGTCTGGTATTTGGACTGGGCGAGCCAGGACGGCTCCGATCCGTTGCAACCACCGTGCGGGCCGCTCTTATACAATTTCAAGTTTACGTTGAAGAAACATTACAGAAGTGATGGTTCCGTCGACGACATCGCAAAAGGATGCAAGGTTGCTGGGAGGATGTTCGGCGGGTACGGTCGGCGTGCGATGTCTTTGCCGTACTTTGTCCCGCTAGCGCCGGGGCACGACGGGGCCGTTCACGTGACAGACTTCCTTGAGGTCTGGGCGAGATCTGGTACCTCTGTCAGTGTCGTGGATGTCGGACCTGGGACATCGGTCAGTGGTCCTGTTGGGTTCGCAGGAGGAGAGTGCTCTGAAAGGGGGATGGGAGGTCAGGGTGGCCTGCCAGTTACGCCTCCTGATCAAGAGGTGGGCATGTCAGACGACTCGGAGGACGACCATCCGCGTGCTCCTTCGAAACCGAGCTTGCATGGATCTCGCCGCCAAGGTTTGCTTGGGGAGTCGACGCCACGTGGAGGCGGCGATGGTGAACAGTTGCGACAGGGCTCAGAATCGACGACTCCTCGTGGTCTGGTTGAAAGGATTGGTTTGTTCGTTTGTGGCATGCACGTGGTCGAGGTTTCGCGTGGAGATCGCGCGGGTGGTCCGCAGGTTCGAGAGGTGCGTGGGTCAGATGAGACGACTCGTCGGGCCCGACATGCGCCTGCGCAACTGCAGACGGAGTTGAGCCTGGAACGAGAAGCAAGTGGGAACGTCACCGGTGAGGAGGAGGTGTTCGAGTAGGGGCTGTTCCGTGAGAGATCGGCTGAAAAGACTCAGTCGGGAGGAAAGCGCAACTTGCCAGATGAGGAAGAGCGAGAGGGAGTAGGTGCTCTGAAAAGGCAGAGAAAGGTAGGAGGGAGTGCTCGGACGCCAACAACACGAGAGGGCGGTTCCGTTGAGAAGAGAAAAAGGGTTGGAGGTGGGGATGAAACGCCAAAAGACTCGTCGACATAGCGAAGAACCGGTGAGTCTTCCGGGAAACGGTCGAAATCATCGAGGAGGAAGAAAGCAGATGAGGGCGACAACGGGGAGGGAGATGACGACATGGACATTAACCTCAACGCCTTCAACCTCGACAATGCGTTCTTCCTCGAGATGCAGACAGGGGTGCAGAAGGACGTCGTGTTGCACATCCATCCCGAAAGAATATTAGCTATTCCAGACTGGGAAGACGCGTACAACCACCAATCCTTGGACGAGTTCCTCGTTGATACCATCGCGTCGGCTGTGATCGACTGCTACGAACGTAAAGACATGAGATACACGAAGCCCATTTTCGTTCTCGCTCCGATCGTCGCACCTCCAGAGAATGGCGAGCCTGCTGTGCGCGTGCTGCTTGCTGACTTCGACAACTCACAGCCGGAGAAATATTGGTATTATCCTGTGTGTGGGCAGCATAATGCGAGGGCGGCGATGAAGGTGAAAGACCATCCCGTGTTTGAGTATTACAACTTCTATAAATGGTCGTTCAGACCGATCTTCTTCCCTGATGACGAGTTCGACGACTACGCCCATGTCAGCTGCGAAGACAACATGAAAGACAAGAAGAATCCACCGCGCTTGCAGGTTTTGTCTATGCGGCACATTCGCAATATCTGGAAAATTAAGGGCAAACCGCATGTGGTGCTCGGCAATACGTCGAAGAAAAAGGACGAGGTGCGAAAGTGGGTGCAGTTCATGGCGTTGGCTATGAAGAACACACCGTACACGCCTTTGTGGAACCTGTCAACGGAAGAAAAAAAAAGAAAGGAATGGGCTGAGAAACTTCGATACTACCTCCTGCTGGGCATGGCAGATGACTTCGTCTTCGCTTTGGGAGAGAAGTTCAACGAGGAGTGGTCGAAAGGGAAACTCCTTGCTTTCGACGGCCGGCGTTGGACTGAAAAGCCGCCCACCCACGAGGAGGTGGCCAAGCCAGGACTCTCCACTGTGACTGACAGCCAGGGGCTGAAGAAACACGTCTGGTACGTGAAGGTGGACGACCCGTCGTTGAAAAAGGGCAAGGGGAAGCCAAAGAAAGGCGCGGAGGAGAAAACTTTCTACGTCCAAGTTCATGAGCCGGATGTCCACTGCTAGAAGGAATTGGTGGACTTGACGGACCGCAAGAAGAAAAGGTTGTTGAACGGCGTCTTGAACCTTAACGTCGTGTGGGTTCAAACGAGTAGCAAGAAGTTGGTCGAGCAGGGGAAGTTCAGTGTCAAGGAGATGGTCGACATAATAAAAATGGACCGGATTATGCTGAGGCTGTGGCACTACGTGTAGTTCGAGCATGAGGAAATGGATAAGCGGGAGTGGAATGCCAAATCCACGTTCTTAAGGTCCAAGAAGCAACTGTTGGAAGAGTTCAAGGACAAAGGTCTCGACGACAAGCTTTGGAACGAGAGTAGGAAATTTTTCACGGACTCCACGTACGTCAACAACTGCCCTCAATTTCTCGGGTGTCAACACGACAACAACATCAAGAGAACGGCGGCCCTCGTCAACGACCAGCATTTCCCGGCGGAGTGGAAGTGTGTCGTCCTTTCGCTGATCACGGGAGATCGCGCCAAAGGCAAAAAAAACCCTCGGGGCGTTGATGAATGAATCAACATTATGTGGACGAGGACAAGCGCCTTGACGACGCTGGCCCAGTTTAACGTCGACCCATTGAGTGCCATAGATCATAAGGAGGCGCTGGGAAAACTAGGGCATCAGCTACGCTCCCACACTTGCGTGCTCGACTTGTGCGGAAATGTGGACCGTGCGCAATGGGACTCTGGGGCATTCGCGTCTCTGAGTGAGTTGCTGGGCTTTGTTTGTCAGGACTACTGGACATTAGTGGTATTTGTTCCCTGCCTGTGAAACCTCTCCTTCATGACATCTTTGTCTGCGCTTGGGGCTACCCGATGCTACACGAGGAAGTGGGTTCTGAAGACGGCAGCGAAGAAGACGCATCAGTTCGGAAACAGCGTCTGGGAGGAGCCGGATGTGATGCACATCCTTTTCAAAGGCGAGGATCCTCGACTACTGACTCACCCGGTGTACAAGGGAGCTGTTGCTGAACACGACGCCGCCGCTCTCCGTAGGAAACAAAAAGTGACACCCACGGATGTGGAGGAGAAGTCTTTCAAGTCCTTGACTTTCGCGGACATCGGGAACCTCACCCAGTGGGGGGCTCTGTACAAGGACGGTGAGCGGAATCCGAATCAGTTATGCAATCAGCTTCTTTTCTTCTGTGGTGTGGCGGATGCCGTGCAGTTCTTGGGCAAGCCGCACGCGCAGGTGGTGTGGAGTCTGCTTCAACAGGGAAGGCATGTCTTGGCCGTGGATGGGGATACAACGCAGCTCGAATACACCGTGCAGTATGTCACCCATGAAGTGTCATCCAAGGCTTACCCATGCGATTTCCACCATGTCGTGGTCGAGCCCGTTTATGACCCGAACAAGGACATGTTCTTCAAGTTGACTCCGAAGAAAAGGCGCCAGGTCTACTCCTTCCTTTACGGCGAACAACCAAGGTTGAGATTTGACCCGCAGTACGTGGTGCGGAAGGAAGTCGTCATTGTGGTCCTCCAGGGCTACCACGGAGCGAGTCGGGCCGGCGCTGTGAGCTTCATTAAGAGGCTGGAATATGTGTTTTTTAACCAGAATGTTGTCGATCCGTCCGACTTCACTTTGGATAACTACAAGCTGGCATTCGGTGACGAGGACAACTTCAATATCGAGACTGAGCAGGAGGAGAGCGTTGAGGACGACCTCTTCGATTTGGACGGGCAATTGGCCATCTTCAACGCCCAAGTTTCTGAGTCGCCGTCAGTATGCAAAYCGGGGACACCTCTCGCTACACCCACCTCGGGCGGCCCCACGCCCGTGTCCTCCTCAGCGCCTGTCAAGAGGGGTGGGTTGTCCCGTCTGAGGAGTTCGCCGGGGGAGCCTATTCGTCTCACACCGCAGCCCGAACGTCTTCGACCCGGCCATCCAGTTCCTCCGGACCATCCGCATCTCAAGGCTCCTGCGACTCCCTTCCACATGGGCGACAAACACACCTTCTCCACAACCGAAGATTGGGGCCATGATATCGTGTGGCACCCAGACCATTTCCAGCCAGTCCTTCTCGACGGCGAATGGGCAGTGGCTGTGAGGGACGTAAGTGGAGCGTGGATATATGACGATTGTTGGGACCTCGAGACATTCAAATCTCGCGCCTACGATGCGGTTTTGGAGAGATTAAGTGAGGTCAATCGACGAAGTAAGGACAGCCCTGCTCTGCGCGAATACGGGGACACGCTGTTCGATTTATTGCAGTCAAATAAATGGTTGGAAATGTCCTCCGCGTTCTACGCTCTTCCGTCAAGCCCGTCAATTAAGCAAGTGAGTTGGGAGTTGCCTGCGAGCACCCCACCGGCAGGAGTTGCAAGGCTCGTGGAAAGGACGGCGAAGGGGATGGTGAAGGTGGCGGGCAATGAGGTACCGGAGGTGGAAGTGAACGGCGTTCAACGAAACAGCGGTCTCCCGGGCACGCAGGCAGCGGAGAGGGGAAAAAGGGCAGTCGGGAGAAGAAAAAGCCTCGCAGCGGAGAAAAGACAAAGCATCACACAGGAGACGGGCAGGGGTCCGATGTCGACAGCGACGAGGACCGTGGGGTTCTGGCGGTGACAGGCAACACCTCAATGGAGACGGGGAATGACTTCAGGCCTGGGTGGATTACACGGCCTGGCGAGCAGGACCCTGTGATTAGCTCCACCAGCGCAACACAGTATACCGATGCTATTGGCGGGGCAGTTGTAGCAAAGAATGGAACTTGCTTCGCTCAGCTCCAAAAACGGCTGGCCAATTGTCTCGGACCTATCCGAACCTCGGAGACGGAATCGTCGCCCGGAACTCAATGCCTTCCGGGAAGCGAGACGACAACATACCACGGATCCGGCAGCGACAAGCTCCAACCATGTTCGGTTTCGCCTCAAAAGGAAGTTCGGATTAATCCGAACCCAGAAGCCAGTACCGTTGAGAGAGCACAACGGTCTGCGGAACTCGAACGGGTGGTCCAGGTTTCCAAAAACCCTAGCGGCGAAATTCGGATTCATCCGAACCAGGAGGACGTGTCCGCCATGACAGACGACCGGTGTCAGGACACCGTCATGCTGTGCATGGAAGTCCACAATGAGCTGCAGGCAGACTGTCCGACTGAGGGTGAGTTAGAGACCAGTTTCAATGTCGAGCCCCGCACACTCAGAGCCGAATGCCTGGTGATGGTACCGGCTGACTTAGCAGTCTTAAGCGACTCTCCGGTGAAAGCGGACACGTCATCGCTGTTGGAAACTGCGGTGGCTTGGATGAATCCGAACCAGGGCCCTGTGAGCATATCCCTCCCTGGTGCAGCTTTGGAGACGATCGTAATTCGGATTCATCCGAGACACACGGACGAAGGACTTGACGGTTGTCGACTTCTGACGACTTTGGACAAGGACGATTCCGCCGACGACCGGATTGATCCGACACTCGGCGACGTCAGAATGGAGCAACCAGTTCAACCGGCATACGACGACCCCTTGTACTCCGGCCTTCATGACGAGGCGATGGGAGAGGACATTCTGAAGAAGTCCTCTGATGCTGTTGGAGATAGATTTCTCTATTTGAGTGACAATGATAAAGACACAGCGCACAAGGACAAGAAGTTAAGGGGGGGAGAGGTGTTGTTGGACATCAATGGGACCTTGAGCACAACACAATGCGACACAGTGGCGACGAAGGAAACCCAACATGTCGATGTTGTGGACGTCGATGCTCTTTGTCCGGAGACGAACAGACTAAAATTGCCTGTCGCGGACGTGGAGGATTTCCGCCATCGGGATGGGGATGAATTCATGCCGTCGCCGGTCATCGACGCCGGCATCTCGAACCTGTCAAGTTTCCCTGTGAGTTTGGAGCACGTCGTCGCCGCGTCGATGCGCACGGTGGCGCCAATCATACTGGGACTGCCATCGGTGGGCTCTGGTGACGTTGAAGCTAAGCCTGGTGAGCATTGTCTTCCTTTGCTTGCTTCCCGCTCGTCAGCCCGTTCGTGAAGTGTTGTTTTCTTCGTCGATTTCGGGGAGGCGTGTACGCGGCCGCCAACTGGATTTGACGATTTGCTTCGTGAGGTGTTGTTAGCTTGGTTGCTCTTGCGAAGTTGTGTTGTTGATCTCCTGCTGAACTGTCTGGGTGGCTATTTCTTGTACAGGTCGACGAGCTCGTGGACAAACACACATGTCGCAGGAGCCGCCTGCCCTCACCAGGTTGTCAGTCCTAGTTGCAGGAGGCACTGGTCGTCGAAATGTCACTGATTCGTTTCCTGGGGAGACTAAACCTCGGGGCACTCCCAGAAGGGTTGTCGTGCCCGTATTGGGCCCTCGCGCTAGACTCGTTGCAGAGGCAGCGGGTGTTGCCGAAAAAGACTGCAAGGAATTCCTTCTCGAGGCTTGCAGGGATATAAAGAAGGACAGTGCTAGTTTAGAATCAGCTGTGTGTGGAAGGTCAAGACGTAGGGGTGTTGTTATGCGTGAACTTTTCGGGTCACAGAGTATCGGTTCGTCGGACCATGGCCACTAGGACGACATTTCCTCATAGTGCCCCATCCTTTCTACTTGCTGTGTGCTGCTGGTGTTTGTTGAACAGTGTTTCCTCGAGATGGAAGAGCAGTCCTTGAAGACGTTATCTGCTCCCGGTTGCCACTCACTATGATCGTCGCGCGTTTGCCGTCGCACAATTTACAGGCTTTCGTCAAGGACATGGTCGCACTCGTGGATGGATCCAAGGAGCTCAACGATGAGGTCGTCAATTTCTACATGGCGATGCTACTGGACGACTGCGGCCGGACTGCTGCTACCAAGAAGACGTACACCTTTAACTCTTTCTTCGCCTCTACACTGCTTCTGCGAGGTCCAGCAACTGTTTGCAGATGGGCTAAAGATGTGGACCTCCTGTCTCATGACCTCGTCTTGGCACTAGTGCACAAGGGCGGCAAACACTGGAGCCTTTTGGCCATTGACTTCTCTAGACGTGTTTTGGAAATCTATGATTCTTTCTCGTGTTCGTCATCCAAAGATGACTTCTACTCCACACTTTTAGATAAATCTATTAAATTTTTGAACACGGTGGCAGGTGCCGTCGGTGATAGTCGCACTTTCGACCACTTCGCTCACGAGGTCAGCGTGAAAGGTGTCCCTCGGTAGCACGACGGGGCTAGCTGTGGGGTGTTCATGTTGATGTTTGCTTCCTGTTTGGCGAGAGGTTTACGTCCACCTTTTGGTTTCTCCCATAGACACATCTCCTCTATCAGAGCTAGACTAGCTTTGGCGATTTGCAATGTTGGTAGGTAAGCGTCTATCTTTTTGCTGATCATGTAGTGTAGAAGGGTTGACTTTGAAGAACATTTCGTTCTTCTCCGGACAAAATTTATTCCTTTTCATTTTTTCTGAGAGAGACTAGTGGGTGTTCTCGGTTTGGTTCAGAGCAGAACTGGCTGTCACTGCTAGGATATCTCCGGGTGAAATTGTCATGTCCCCGGCGTGTTTGTCGTCGACAATATTGTTCTTTCTCATTGACTCTCAATTCTCGCGAACGTCCCACTTGTTGGGGCGCCTGTTTCGTGATTGGCTTTCTCACTTTCGTCATTTTGTGTCTTGTGTGGTGTGATGTTCTGCCCTCATACTCGGATGCATCCGAACTCCAACTATCTTTATGATTTTCTGCCTCTCTCTCCAACCTTCCCCGTCGTCTACACTCATCTATGCATTTTCACTTTGAATGTCGTGAGGCATCACAGAGAAGAAAATACAACACAAGGGCCTCTTTATACATTATGGTCCGTCTGGCCCTCCTCGCTGGGTGCTTTTTGGTTCCAATGTTGAATGTTGTTAATTATTTTGCCCATCAAAGTTCCCCGTCTGCACGAGCATTCATACATCCGGTTCCTATTCCATTAGACAATACACTGAAAAATATGAATGCGTTGAGGGAGGGAAAACCCGAAAGGCGACACCGATGCGTGCTCTAATGTGACGAAATTTCAATTAAGGTAGCATGGCTGAAAGAAACAATTGCGACACGCTCGAATTTCATGGCGCGCCCTAGAACTTCGATATCTCATGATCCGCTGGACCGTTTAGTCTGAAATTTGGACCACCTCAGCTCCTCAGCGTAGACCACCGGTGGTCCAAATGTCAGCTCAGGGCGCGCGCCCAATCACGCGCAATCGTCGAGCGCACGCGCGCTATTTTCCTTGTTGTGTGCAGTTATCCGGCACGCGCGGCTCCTCTCCGTGGCGTTTACCTTGATTGAAGATTGATGCTGCCGGGGCGCAGCGCTCCTGGTTGCGCTGCGCCCCACTCTCAATCGACCCAACCCATTGACACGTGTATGCTCTCTTGGAAGTTTTGGTAGGACACAGGTGTCGATACAAATCCTGAAGAGTGAGGTGGGCCATCATATGCCTGAGGGTTCTGATGTTTGTATCAGCCGAAATTTGGTTGTGTTGTACTCCTTGGGAGGGTGATCTCCTGTCAATGCTCGGGTTCGGGGTCGTGCTGAAGTCTACCATCATTATTATGGGTGCCTCGGGTGCGTCCCGCGGTAGGAGGTGTTGCAGTTGAGTAAAGAAGATGGCTCTCTGAGTCGGGTCATTGGGGGCATATATGCTTACCAAATACAACGTCTCGGTCCCAAGTGTTGCCCTTATCCAAACCCTCCTGCCCTCCATTGTGCCTCTTTCCAAGTTTCCACGTGCTCCGGGGCAAGTCTCGATGTGTGGTGGATCCACAGGGCCGCACCAGTTGATCCTGCTGCTCTTGTCGGTGCCACATACGAGGTGTAGGGCCAGACTTGGGCTGCTCTTGCCTGGTGGGTCGGGGAATCTGTGAGGTGGGTCTCTTGCACCGCAACTACGGCCGGCCATCTCCCCCAGTGTCTTGGAGTATCAGATCCCATATTGCCTTACATTTTTGTTCATTTGGCTGACAGTGTGCCAGTCCGTAGACATTGATTGATTTGATGTCAAGATGTGCTGCCAATAACTTTTTTATCCATTGGGGGGGGGTTCTTATTGGTGGATCCGGGCAGGGGGGCGTGGGCACACGTTAGGATGTCGGGAGACGCCTTCCACCTGGTCACTTCAGGACTGCTGTTGTCCTGATCCCGGCATCCTCAGCTACAACCCTGTGTCTTGTCGGTTGATTGTCATCATCCATTTCTGTGTTGTTTGTATGAATCCAACCACAGGGACGCTCTATTGGAAATGTCTGATAAACGGTGGGTCATCCCACTGTTGGCTGTGTAACCCTTCGTACGTCGTACGAAGGTTCTTTCGTACGGTCGTACGGCCGTACGGACGGTCCCGTACAAAGTGACGAACCCCCCCCCCAAAAAAACATAAAAATAAATAAATTTATGGGGATGTAGAGTTTTCGTGCTCTAGACCCTCGTATTTTTTATATTTTTAAAAAGTAAAAATCATTGAAACGTGGGAAAAAAAAACAAAATAAAGAAATAAAAATTGATTGATTGATTGATTAAAAAAAGAAAAAGGGAAAACAAGGGCACAATTAAGGTTTTCAGTTTTAAATGCGTTGCAGTCACGGTTTCGCGGATTTTGCGCCAAAGAGGAAAATTGTGACTGTATCCAACCCAACTTTAGGGTTGGGTGGGGATTTGTTGCGTTCGAAGGATGCCTGAAGTGGATTTGGAACTCAAAACGTGACTGCGCCCTAGTTACCAAAAAAAAAAAAACTCTTTCTCTGTGTGTGTGTGTGTGTGTGTGTAGGTGTGTGTGTGAGTCTGTCTCTTGGTGTGTGCGCGCGCGCGCGAGAGAGAGAGAGAGAGAGAGTATGTGTGTGTGTGTGTGTGTGTGCGTGTGTGCGTGTGTGTGTGTGTGTGCACGCGCCCGTGTGGTGGGGGGGGGGGGGGGGGGGGCGGCGGCAGGGCGGGCCCGACCCTCCCCCAACCAACCAATCAATCAATCAATCAAAAAAAAATGGTACACGGCATCATTTTTTCTCTATTTATTTTTTCATTTATCAATCAATCAATCAATCATCAATCAATCAAGCAGTCATCAATCAATCAATCAATCAATTACTCAATAAATCAATCATTAACAATCAATCAATCATCAATCAATCAATCAATTAATCAATCAATCAATCAATCAATCAATCTTTTTTTTTTTTTTTTTCCGACCCC